TGCAATAATGTTTTTTGTAAGTAAACAAAATTATAAAGCTTGATGAATAAACTGACATCAATATTCCGTACTTTAATTTGCAATAATATGGTACCTCTTTTGGAGGCAACAGGGGTCGATCCAGGGGAGGTGCTTTGGGTGCGGACGCATCACCCCTTTTTGACGACGTATTTTTAATGTATCAGTATAATTTTTTTTTTCTGCTGTTTATACTCTTGTTGTACTTCTATCGAGAAACCGAGTGCATACACAACATGAGTCAGCCACTATGCTGCTTAACAATCTATTTGAGTAGTGTAGTCAAAGATACGTTGCAATAAAAGTCAATTTGCTTCTGGTCAAATTGTGCATAATTTTCTTGTTCTAGACAATGATGATCAGTTCCATATATTACTAAAATGCATAATATGCTGCATCCACCATCCACCCCTGGGAAATTTCATTTGAGTTATTATTAATCATTATTAAGAGAAACGCATATTTTTCAGTTCTGTGCAAATCTTGGGACCACATTGGTTTGTTCATTTGATAACTTAGAAGAGCTTGGACCAATATGTAAGTCAAATGTACAAAATATAGACGCTAAGAAATCACATCAAGCATGATCATCACGAATCCAGTTTCGAGATCTTAACACCCACCTTAACCTCCAAACCATCAGTGTTAGTATTAGTATTATATTTAATAAAATTGTAATGCATAAACTCTGTAAAGAAGACTTACAATGAAAGTTCGAAAATGGGGCAATCGTACTGGGCACGTTATTCCCTGATCATCGTTCGATCGATCATTTTCGAATGGTTAGGGTTTTTTTCACTTAAGGCACCCATTTGAATTAATTAAGATATCCCTTAATAAGTCTTGGAGACAATMAAATTCAAGATGTCTGCCACAAAAGCGTACTGGTTCCATTGAGGTCAGTACACCTCAACAGCTATGTGTTTCTTTAGGTCAGCAATGGAATATGTGGCTGCATGTTGATGCAGCATATGCTGGAACGTTTTTTGTTTGCCCAGAATTTAGAAACTACTTAAAAGGAGTTGAGGTATGTGCACCATATTATGATACTGATTGACTGATTGATCGATTGGTCAATTCATTGATTAATTGATTGATTGATTGATGATTAATTGATTCATTGATCGATTCATTGATTAATTGATGATTAATTGATTAATTGATTGAATGATGAAATGATTGATTGATTGATTGATTCATTGATTGATTAATTGATTGACTGATGAAA